GCCTGTATACACACAAAAAGGTTTTATTTGGTGGAATACAGTGCATCCCATTTTGAAACACGGTGGAGGCAGCCTCATGCCACGGGGTTGCTGTTCTTCAACAGGACCAGAGAAGCTGAAGTTGAAGGGAAGATGAATGAAAATCCAGAGAAATCCTGGAAAAGTAGAGGCTTACTTCCAAAGACTTACAAAAATCCTAATAACATGTCCTGAACTTTGTGTTTTTAATGTGACAAAAAGTCACATGCTCCCGTCTACAAACTTCACTTTTTGCGGGGTGTTTTCAGAGTGATGTGTGGAACAATTTGTCCTCCAAAAATGGTGAAATCAAAATTGCTCAGCACTGGCCTAATCTAAATAGACTCTAATATAATCTAAAATATAATCTAAATAGATTATATTCCTGTAGTATTTTGCTGGCCTATCTGGATGTTCTGCTGCAAACTTTAAACAGGCTTCCACATACTTTTTCTTCAGCAGTGGAGTCTTGTGCAGAGAGTGTGCATAGAAACCACTGGAGTTAAGTCAGATAACTTTTATGTAAAAAGTTATTTTAGCTCTCAGTAAATGCTCTTTTGGTCTTGTAAAGCAGTTTTTGTTCGTTTTTTGTTTTCTTTTGAATCCTCTATCAGAAATGTTATGTGATAAAAAGTTGGTTGTGGCTGTTTTAAGGGAAAGACTGGGGTTCTTCCACTTCATCAAGGCTTCACTGCAACATTCAGAAGTTTAGATATGCACCATGACTTTCATCATGTTTAGCAGCTGTAACACTCTTTTGTGAAGGTCTTTCTTCTTAACAAGTGTACCACTATGTGTACTATTTTGATAAAGCAAAACTTTGCAGTAAAGCCACAACAAAAACCTGTCGTATTTTTTCAGGTGCATTGAGAAGATACCCTTTTAATTTATCTAATGCCATGAAAATTCCAGATTTGCATACATTGCCCAACTGGTATTGTGCACAGAAAGGCGTAGTGTGGATTTTAGCTGCATATCTGAGTCTTGCCCAATTTCATGGTTCAGTTGTTGGCAGGAGATGTTCACAGAAAGCACTTTGTATTCTGCAGTCTCTCACATTTTCAGCAGTGAGGTCATATGATGCAGAGCAGAGAGAGAAGAGCTTGGAGTAAAACGTGACGTAGGAAGTGAGTGAGGGCGGAGAAATGGAGCTGATTTATGGTTCCTCGCAGCCAAAAATAGCTGCAGCAGCAGCATCACTCTGGCTTTCTCGCCTGCGTCACCCCGCTCCCATACCTTACCTTACATGTTTGTTCAGGGCAGAAGGGTTGGGTTTGATTCTTCAGATTTCATGTTGCCTTCAAAGAACAATAAAGTGCTAGTAGCAGCGTAGCTTTGAAATCATCTCTTCACAAGATCTCATCAAAATCCTAAATGTCATTTAAATATTTGTTGAACTTATGAAGGATTCCCTCTTTTTTTTTTTCACTTTCTTTTATGACCTCTGTGGTCTTGTGATATTTTGATGGAGAGCTTCCTCCGCCTCCTGTCTCCCCCAATCTCATCCAGGCTTTTCTCTGAGGTGGGAAAGGCAGCTGCTTTAAATGCTTCGAGCCTCACCGAGAACAGTTCCACAGGATGTCCTGCTCAGACAGACGCAGCTCTGACGTCAAACAGTACACACACACACACACACACACACACACACACACACACACACACACACACACACACACACACACACACACACTTTTTACACTGCACTCACCCTCTCCTTCACATTCCACCTCTTTTTATGGCCTCTGCTGGCATCTTTTCCCAAATATCTCAGCTTTATGATATCGCTACTTTAGATATCCTGGAAATTTTCAAAGGAAACAAACCTTTCTCTGTAAAAAAGTTTACTTTTAATACTTAACCAAATACAGCGTCTTGCAAAAGCGTTGACATTTTTCACGTTTAATCCCCACAGATGCCAATGTTCTTTTTTTATTTATTTTATTTTATGTTTTTAATGTGAAGAAGGGTAGAATTAAAACAACAACAAAAAAAAACTACATCTCAAGATTTGGACGTCATTTAAAACCTAAAAGCGCATGGCACGACTGCAAACCTACCAACACAGAACCATTTGCACAAACTCACAAGGAGATAATGAGCCAAGACGCTTGTGGTAACTTTAGGAGAACGGCTGAAATCTATAGTTTATGTGTGAGAATCTACTGAATGGAAACGTTTTAGCTGTGAGACCAAAATTGAACTTCCTGGCCTGTATGTATCTGGCGAATGACGAATTACTAGACACCATCTCCATGGTAAAACATAGTAGTGGCGGAGTCATGCTGTGGATACCCTTCAGCTACACATACGTAGGAAAATTTGCTCAACATATTTGCCGTCATAATAATTCCCTGGAACTCTTCAAACTTGTAAATTAAACTCAAAAGGACAACTGTCCATTCATGGCTAAACTTCAGATATGCTATAGGTTTCTTGGCACAGAGTGTTGTGAAGTATCATTTCATTTTAAAGAGCTGAAAAGATTGTTTAAAAATGAGCCTCACTATTAAAGAATGTATTGCATATCTGCCTCTGGAGGTAAGAACATGATGAACGTCTCTTATCTAAACGTAGGGAAAAGACCTTTCATGCTTTGCATACTTTCTCCACTTTGAATCGAGCCATCGTCTCTCCATCAGAGAGCGACGTGCTTAGAGACATAATGGTAATGTGAAATTTAAACTCAGGCTGCATGTAAGGTTTTTCACAATTGAATTTTCAATCTTGTTCAACTTGTCCAGCTCAAAGCTCGATTACTAACCAGTCAAGAATTCAATTCAACAGAAACTGCATGCCAATATGAAGTAGGCTAAGCAGTCTCACAAAGTACCATCATTGTATTTTACAATGATCAGAGCTTTTATGTGCAAGCGGCGCGTATAGCCATGGAGGTTTGATTTGCCTTTTTGTGAAAATAACACGCACCAACTCAAACAGCCTCATCATCAACAGAAACAAAGACGTAACTGAGCATTTTCAAAAGACGTCACATTACAAATTTAACACAAACGAGGCATTTTGAGCTCAGTTTGAAAACACTTTGTTCAGATGCAAATTTCTTTTCGTCAGGAGGAATGGTTTCCAAAGACTTTAAGTGAACTTGGTAATCTTTTAATTAAAGAGATGAACACTGTTTGCTTTGCTCTCCTGCCTCTTCCCCATCCCCGTCTCCAAAGATTGGTCAGAGTCATCATGATCCCACAAAACTCAGATCAGTAAATCAGAAGTTTCTTTCTGAGAGTATCACTCCTTGAAATATGACTATTTGAAAAAGACTAACAAATAGAAAATATACATTTCTTTAAGTCAGCAGTATTTTATGTGTTGTCATAGTTAGACAACTGATCTAGGAGATCACCGATATCTGTCACAGTGAGCCTTAAAGTTAAAAGGAAAGCTACATGCATATAAATATATATACTGAAAATACACCATTGTGGCTGAATCTTTCTGAAAAGCATCTTGAATCAGATGCTTGGAGCGGTTAGTCGTTTATCAGTTTCTTGCAGGCAAGCGGAAAAATGATTGCCAATAAACAAACCGGACCGCGACTATGAAGCAGATTTCCAAAGTTTTGTTTTGTTTACGCTTTTTGTGCCGAAAGAGAAAATTAGTTCTTCAGATGTGATATCTTTTCTTCTCGTGATATCATGAAGGCTCAGATTAGGCCTCCTGCCATGCCGCCACTCAGGCTCTGTCTGTTTTATGTAGCAGACTCAGAGGGCGCACACTGCAGATGCTGAAATGGAAACACTTCTATTTTTTTTTCTATTAGATCCTGTCTGAAAACACAGCTGAGTATTCTACCTTGCAGACGTCTTTGAATTCCTTCAATCTCTTTCACCTTTTTTCACAAATTGCAACAACCTTCATTAGTAAATAGGGATGATTTTTAAAAAAAAAGTTACGTAAATAAAAACGTTCAGCAAATGTTTGTTAGAGAACATTAGTGAACAAGCAGCATCTCTAAGACCAAGAAACAGCAAACGAGTCAGGAATAAAATTGTAGAAACGTTTAATACAGAACTATGTTACAAAATAATATTGCAAGCTTTGAACGGCTCACAGAGAGCTATGTTCAACACAGGACTGAATATGTTATGCAAAATGATACAGATAGAGAAAACCTAACAGGACATGAGATGTTATTCAGGACAGCTTATTCAGGTGCTAGCATTTCAGTCAAGAAACAGAAGATATCTTTAGCAAGACTTGGAAACTGATGTTCACATATGCACTCCAGTGAATACAGTGCAAAACATTTCAGTTTTTAAAATGTGCAGACCCTTGAAGAGACTTTTAGCTTCAAGGAAATGTGGCATTACAAAGAATTAACTCAAATAGTTGCTCAAGATTTCAGGTGGATGAAAGCAAAAACATCAGTTATTTATTTTGTTTGTATTTTTTTTCCGTCAAAGATTATTTTAAATCAGTGATATTCCTTACTTTCACTTAACAACTCTTTGTAATATGTTGCTGTGACGTTTGTGACTGCTGCGTGACAAAAATGTGAAAGAGGTGGCGTGTGAATATTTTTCCAAATTGTACATGTGAACGTGAAAGTAAAATCGCAACACAAAGTAAAAATGTAAATCATCCTTCATTAGAGTGAGTAGCACAAATTAAAACACATTGTGTTGAGCTAGCATGAGGTGGACCGGATCTAATTCAGAAAACAAACTGAACGCTTTTAGACTCCTTTCGACGGAGGAAGCAAAAGCACAATGCTGCCACCAAGTGGCCAAGTGTGAAATGACACAAAGCTTTACCGCACCCGTCCGTCTGTCCGAGCATCTTATCTTCCAATACGGAAGCTGAGTGAAGCACAGCAAAGTAAAAAATAAATTAATTAATTAAATAAATAAATAAATAAAAATCCTACAGATTGAATGTGTCAGCCTGAGCTTCATTAATGGTGAAAATGAGATGAGAGACGCCATTCACGGGGCAGCTCAATGAGGACGGCTTTCCTCTGCCATCTCACATCATGACCGCCACCATCACCATCATCGCCATCATCATCATCATCGGTGCTGGTCACGTGGCGCTTCGGGAGCGGGCGGTGGGTGTGTCTAATCGCGTGTGGTTTCATTCATAACTACAGTCGTTATTTGAAGCCCAGAATAAAGTATGCAGACGCGGCAGACTGGCTGTGGACCGCTTCTCTCCGAGTCTACAACGAGGTGAGTCCCTGTGTTTTTTTTTTTGTTTTTGTTTTTTGTTTTTTTTTTTTGTTTTGTTTTTTTACCCCTCCCTCTTACTTTACCCGGACCGGGCTCTGGCTCTGGCGTTTCTTCGCGGTCTAAACGTGGTTCTGTTTTAAATTATGTAAGACTCAGGCGACACAGCTGACCCCGCGTTTATGTGAGCGGTGTCAGACGGCGGAGTTTCCCCGCACGAGCGGGGGTCCACGTCGTGATTTATCCCACCTCCCCACAGGGCTGAGAGCAGGCGGTGCACTGACATGGGACAGCCCTGCTGATCGGGGGTGGGGGGGTTTCGGCGGAGAAGGGAAGATGCTTCTGCTGCTGATGGTGCTGATGCTGAGCGCCGGCTGCAGCGCGTCCCTGTAGTCCAGCAGCCGCACGCAGACGGCGGAGGGAAGCTCCTGTGACACCTCCCGTTATAGACCGTAAGACACAACACATCTGGAGCCCCTCAGCACCCACTCTCACCTGAGGGTTTTATGCAGTAAAGTCTTCCCCCCCTCCTCCCACACACACACTCACACCCTACCCCCTCCTCCTGCTTTTCTCCCGCTGATGGTATTTATAAAGACACAAACACCATCAGTGTGATTGAAGCGCTGGGAGCTAGAAAGTGTGTGTGTGTGTGTGTGTGTGTGTGTGTGTGTGTCTGAGCTCCAAACGCCCATCTGCCCGGATGATAAACCGGAGATGAAGTGACAAGCTAACATGTTCTCAAATCCCAGATTATCATTTTCCAAAAACATAGTCAGTGTTGATTTAGTTGTTTTTTTTAAAATTGTTTTTATTTTTTTATTTTTTAGCTTACTTCAAAACAAGTGCTGACAGATAGGATATGCGAAACTGTAAAGTCTAGAAATACAAGCATTGTTGTATTTTTTGAGAATGTTGCTACAGTAATAATCAATAATTAGATATTTTATTTAAAATGCCTTTCATATCGTAAGAAAAGGCTAACAAGTTATAGATGAATTTGACTTAATCTTACTAGTGCATAACACATTTGTCCGATGATTAACAGTTTGACGTTTTTGGGTCAAATCATTTATGGCCATACATTTTAAGTGAATTTGCTTTAATTAGATTTGTCCTATAACTTGGCATGTTAGAGGGGGGAGTTCATATCCACGTTAGGGAATAAATATTGTTTTGTTAAATTATCTTGCTATTTGCTGCTTCACCGTGTTTGCTTGGAACTTCCTGTGTCAAACCAACACAAAGTCGTGCAAAACTACAAACTGGAAATTATCTGACGAATGAAAATCTGAAAAGTGCGGCATGCATTTCAAGAGCCACCTTTTGCAGCATTGAAAGGCTTTTTAAGTACGTTTCAGCGCAATAGCTCAGGCTCGTCCGGCCTGTATGGGTAGCGTCTGTGAATGTCATTTTTTCAAGTCTTCTATATAAGATTTAGGTCTGAACTTTCACTAGGACCTCCAGGGGTCTTCAACTCCAGTCCCACAGGACTGGTGTCCTGCAACTTTAAGATGTGTTCCTGCTTCAACACGTCTGGGTCACAGAGTAAGGTTACCATGGTTCAGTGTGTTTTTTTCTTGTAGTTTATACCTCAGATAGTGTTTTAAAAACTTGGTTTTACTTGAGCAAAGCACATGTCTGCTGTGTCCATAAAGGGATTTTTTTATTACTTTCTTTTTACAGGGGCTTTCTTCTTGCCACATTGCAACTCTGACTATAAAAAACCCCCAAAACCCATATATGTTGTTTTAACGCATATAACTGTGTGTGAATTGCTAAATTCAGAATTCACGTTTCAAAATGTTTCACATTTTGTCTCAGGATGTGGTTTTTTGAATTATATTTGACAGACTGAAACAAAATAATGTATAACTGTTTTTCTTTAATATATAAATGAAAATCTGAGAAGTGTGGCATGCATTTGTATTCTACTCCCATTACTCTTACACCCTTAAAAAAAATTCCTAAAAACCTGTAGCTTAATGTGTACTTTGATATCTCATAATTTAATTGATAAAATTAAATTATGAGGTCATTACATTATGGTTAGATCATTACATTTATGTTAAATTCCCTTTACTTCTCCACTCCATCTGACCTTTTAGTGTGATCAGAAAATTTAATTCAGTTCTTCTGAAAATCCACTTCAGATTTCAACCATTTCAACAGAAAAAAAACAACAAAAACATTTGAATATCAGGCTGCTCTATTTCTGTTAGGTGTGAATGAGAGAAAACTCTGAAAAGACACTCACAAATGTCAGGACAAGAATAACAAACGGGCTGTGATTATGAGTAAATCACCGGGGGAGATTATTTATCGGAGCTAAGGATTCGCGGCCACGCGCAGCGCGTGAAGCGATGGCGTGCTGTTCAGAGCTGCGGCCTCGTCGTAGTTACCTCGAGCTGAGATATTACATAAAATATGAGTCTCCCTCACGGTGAGGGAACGTGCAGCTGGGTTATCAGCGTGTGTGTGTGAGGAATGCAGTCCTGGACTGACGTTACGCCAGGTGCACGGACTCTTTACTGCGGAAAAGTCCTTTTAACCTTAGAGACGATCATTAGGCCAATCACACAAAAATGGAGACATCACTCTAGTTCAAGATTCCTCGCATTGACTTCACACTCAGCCTATAATGGATTTTAGAAAGATTTATGTGATTTGAACGGTTGAGAGCGATCCGCTCTGTCTCTGAACGTACTCTGCACTCACCACCGGACCTCTTAGAAAATAAATGCTAGTTTTCCTGCAGTTTGCTCCATCTTCTTTGTATTTATAGTACACTTACGGGACAGACTTCCAAAAAGCATGTAATTGTGAAATGTTAGACAAATTAAACATGGTTTAAAAAAAATATGTTACAAACAAAAGATTGAAAATGTGACACCCATATCTTGAGTCAATACTTAGCACAACCATCTTTTGTTGCAATTACTATAACTCTATAAAGTCTATAACTTACAGATCTAGGCTTTGCATATCCAGACTTTTTTTTTTTTTACCCATGAGTCCTTGCAAAAAGGCTCAAACTGTGGAAGTTTGCATATCAAGAATCCCTAAGCATCAATTTTCAATTCTTGCCACATATTCTTCAATACATTTCGGTCTGGTTTTGGTCTGTTTGTTCCACTGTGGCCTTCACAGAACAGCTTCATTTATCCTGAGACTAAATGACAAACCAACAAGCCCTTTTTGCTCATTATGTGATTTCTGGAGGTAGTTTGTTGTAGCGGGTTATACTTAGAGGAGTTACAACAACTAAAAAGTTGAATACAACGGGCACACCGCAAGTTTTAAACTGTGTTTGTGCAACATTTCACAGAGGTGCTGTGCTCTGTGTTGGGTGATTTCAGAAAGTCCAACACAAACACAGAAGTTTGAAGATTTTTGCATTTAATGTCAGCTCAGATTTTATTATAACGTTCCGCACAGCTCACACTTTTCTCCCAAACAGAGATAAATTGGGCAGCAGTTGTCTCTGCAGGATAAAGTACAGTCTGGGATGGGAAACAACTGGAAAATCATTTTTGCAACTTTGGTAAAGAATCAGTTGCAGTCTGAGAAGGCATTGATTCAACACTCAGATCCAATTACAGAAAAAAACTCAATCAAAAACTTCACTTCTACACAGCTTCATTTATGCTTAATTTATCCTTTTACGCATTTTTTGCCGTTGTTTTGATTTTGTTTTTTTTAGTAGTTTTCATTTAACCTTCAGCCTTAACACACACACACACACACACACACACACACACACACACACACACACACACACACACACACACACACACACACACACATCGCTACTTCAAGGATACAACGCTGAATATCATAACTGCTGCAGAAAAGATCTTTCAGTAGAAACTCCAGCTAAAAAGCGCTAAAAAGGACAGAATTGATGAGTTTGAATCTTTTCATTTTTCTTTGTTGTTTCCTGGTGCAAGCAACAGTTTGAATCGACACCAAAGGAAGCGATTCTCTCCCTCAGGAGGCAACACTTTGCAAAGCCAGCTCCTGCTCTCTGCAAGGCTTGTGGGAAGCACAGCACCAAGGTTACCTACACTCATCATGCGGATGACTGTCAGATTAAATTTGGGCTTCAAATGATTCATTGGAGCCATGTTTTTATTTTATTTATTTTATTTTTTGCATCATTCAACTGCAGTGAATTTGAGAAAAAAAAAATGGCACCAAATTTATTGTGAATTTTTTCAAATCACCACAAAATCAGAATAATACTAACATATGCGTAAATTCCCATAACTATTTATTTGTTTTATGTCTCTTATCAAGTTTCACCATGACCATTCACTTCCTGACCTGCTCACATGACCACTGTTCTTGGCTGAATTTGTACATTTATAAATTCAGTGGTTTCCTGGTATGAAGCAGACCTCGGATCTGTCTTTTTTTTTTTTTTTTACAGAGGTAGAGTCATGGGCTTTGGAAAATGCATCCCCGATGCTTAA